TCCATGCCTTTTTAAGGTAATCCTTAATGTAGTTCTTAATGGCATGTTGGATAGGATTAGAGGAAAAGGATTGAAAGGGAGAATCAACAATGAATTAGAGAGAATTAGGGAGAGAAAGAGAAAGAAGAAGGGTTTTGGAAACAATATAAAGGTTATTGGAGTGGAGGAAAATGCAATTGAAGGAGGTATTAGGTTTTAGCAAGTAAGGGAGGTGGAATGTGGCTTCGATGAGGAAAAAGTTGCCATCAGAGTCCTAAATGTGGAGGGATAGAGAGAAGAGAAGTTAAGAAGGGAGGAAGATGGTGAATCATTCGTCGTCCAAGTTGTCATTATAGTAGAGGTGGTGAAGGTAGAAGGAGCGGCATAGGCACGAGGAGTTTGCAAAAGGTGAATAACATTCTTTTTTTTTTGTGTAATACAATGCTGGAGAAAAAAAGGAAAGAGGTTGACTAAGAACTTTTTTGTCCTTCAAATATTAGCTTTTATATAATATAATATTAAAATAATAATGACATGACAAATATAACTTGAACTTCTATTATCAAGTTCATCACTTAATAAAACATAGTTAGTAGTAAGGACTAATTTCTAAATATTTTAAAAATACGAGAGATTATATCTTATCAAATTTTTTTTATTAACATTCTTTTTTCCTCCCTTCTACTTTCTTCTATTACCTTTCATACCTTTTATTTTCCTCTCCCATCAATCTTCAAAATAACGTCTTCAAGATATATTATGAAACATAAACAGTCTATTCCTACTTGTCAAAAGTCAAACTTGTTCAAGGAAAATCTAGTAAGAATTAAATATGAAGATGCTAACTGCCTCAAGCTAAAGATGGTAATTGATGATGTTGTTTTCAATTGTGAATACCCAATTTTATCTAAGTCCTTGTTAAAAATAAATTTTAAAATAAAAAATCAAATATAATAATTTTTTTAAGAGGTTAAGAAAATAGATAAAAAAAACTAATTTAAAATTTAAATTTAAATTTTTAATTTTTAAATGTAAAATTAGATTTAGAAATAGTCAAAGTAGTTAGTAGATTTTTAAGAAAATGGATAAAAAAGAAAAAAAAACTGATTACTACTCATCGAAAAATAAGGGAGCCTTTATTAGGATCTAGCGTTTTAGAAAATGCCTATAAATAGAAAGCTTAGGTTTTCAGAGGAGGGGACTTTGAGATGGACACATTTTATTTTCTTTACGGAGATACTTTGAGAGCACAGAGAGAATTCAAGAGAGAAAGCTCAGGAAACGAAGAGAAAGAGAATATTCAAGAGAGAGAGCTCGAGAAACAGAGAGAAAAAGGAAAGAGTTAAAAAGAAATCAACTGAGAGTTAAAGCATAGTCCTAGAGATCAATTGGAAAGAACATATCTAGAAGGTTGAAGGAAAAGTCGACTCAAAAACTCTGAGTCATAACAAATGAGTCAACAAAAATATAATTCACTTCTCTTTATCATTCGGTAAGAACTACTATTTCCTTTTTCTTTTATTGTTCCTTTTTTCTTTTACTCATCATATCTTCATGTGCTTTTTTTTTTGTTTGTATTAAAAGTTTTTCCTCTTACAAATTCTAGTTTATCTAACCTAAAAACCTTTTCTTTTCTTATAAACCTACAAAATTTTTAATTTTTCTTTTACCTCTAAAATTTTTCTTTCTGCAAATCCCAATTTTTTTTACATGAAATATTTGTTCATTTTGTAAAAAAAAAAAAAAAACTTTTTTTCTACCCCAAAAATCATTCCTTTTGCAAAATCCTAAAGAATCTAATTTTTCTCCAACAACCATTTTTTAATGATAAACCCTCTTTTTTTCGTAAACCTAAAAACCCTAATGTTCTTTTAACCCTAAAAACCCTTAGTCAAACCCTAAAAATAAAATTCAAATCCTTGAAAATTAATTTTTTTTTTAACTCCGAGTATTACCTTTTTTTTGCAAACCCTAAAAATAATATTTGTTTTTCTAACCCAAAATCATTCAATTTTATTGCAAGGTCTAAAACAAACTATTTTTTTCAACCCTAACAATTTTGCAAATTATAAAAATTTAATTTTTCCAAATCTTAAAAATTATTTCTTTTCATAAATTCTAAAACCCCTAATTTCTTTGCATATCCTAACCTAAAGAAAAACTTATTTCCTAAATTGAATAAGAGTTATTTACTCATCATTTTTGTTTGCTCTTGTATTTGTTTATTTGTTTTGTATGTCTCTCGTTTGTTTCTTTTTTTTGCGTGCAAAAATCTCATATTAAAAGGTATATCAATTTTGCATTATTATAAAAAATGAGTCTTTTGAATCCATGCAACGGCCAAGTAATTTTGATAGAGTGGAGGATCCATCTTCAACCTTACTTGAATCGTAAGGATTTATTAAGTAGCCGTGTGCTAATTTGAACCCTGTGCAGGAGTAGATTTACTTAAAAATGATAATAATAAAGAAAAATCAAGTTTTTTTTTTTACAAAAAAAAGAAAGAAAGAAAATCTTTGAAACTTATTCAAAACATAATTTTCGAAAAAGAACTACGTGTAGTTTTGATTCCTACGTTACACACGGAGGATACGTAGGAGCGGGAACCTGACCTGTCAAGTCTAACTTTTTTTAAAATGTTTTTTCAGGTTCAAAATATTTTTAAAATTGTTTTAAACTAAGATTAATTTCTAGCACATTTTTTTTTATAAAAATTAAAAAAAGAAATTTTTATTTTATTTTAAAAAATAGAAAATAGAAAATAAAAAATGAAGTGTTAAGATAAGTTTTTTTACTATATATTTCTTTAATACAAAAAATGAAAAAAAAGAATAATATTTTTACAAATAACTCATTCCTTTAATTCAAATAATTTTTATTATATTTCCTCATTTTAAAAAATAAAATTAAAATCTCTCAAAAAATTTGTAAAAATTAGAAATAAATCTAAAAATAATAATAATAACAAATTTAAAAATAAGAAAAAAAATATTAATTAGTTTCTTTTAGAGTGAAATAAATGTTTTTAAAGTTAAAATAAAATTTTGCATAATTAATTAGAAGGTAACTGTTTTAACCAACAGAAGTCGTAAGGTGCTAATACCTTTATTACACGTAAACGACTCCCGAACCCAAATTTAGTTTCGAAGATTTTATTTTAATTAAATTTTTTTTAATGTTTTCTTTAATAAACTTTGGTAGCGACTCCTTGTCATTGCCGTCCCGTCGTGACCCCGGTTGCGACATCAATGACTTATGCAAAATAAGGGAAGATGGTATGGTGATAAAGTCTTAGGAATAGTTGGAGATTTTTAAAAGACTTCAAAAGAGACAACTTTTTTATAGTCAAATTTGATTGTGAAATTAATCAAGAGAAAATAATAAAAGAAGGACGATGGATGATGTTCAATCATTACATAGTAATACAAATGTGGATGCCTAAGTTTATTTCGCCATTTGCCACCATTTATAAAATGTTAGGCACTTTATGATGAGAGTGTCTTCATAGCCTTGGCAGCAACAAGAAGACCCATCAAAGTGGATGAGAAAACTCGCAAAATTCAAAGAAGAAAGTTTGTAATAGTTAGCATTGAAATCGATTTTCATTAACATGCAGTGGGTAAGGCATGACAAAGAGAAGTATGAAATGATGTCAAATTCAAGCTATAGAAATCTAGCTCCTCTAACTTGAGTTCCACTATTTTAGGTAATGATTTGGGGGTATATTTATTATCTTCACTGATTATTGTCCATTAGGTTATGTTTTTGACAAAAAATTAGAATTTTAGAGAATTTTACATTAATAATAAGACATGATTAAAAGGTATATTAAGTATTAGAAAAATTATAGATGATAATTACAAAAAATTAAACATAAAGATGACATTATAAATTAGCTTTAAAGACGTGTTTAAAATTTCTTGTACTTAACGTACAAATTCTTAAACTAAAATTCTAAAATGTATTTTCTTAGTAGTCAAATACATATAATCTAGTAATTTAAAATTTTTCTATCTAAACATAATCTTATTATTATAAAAAAAAATAATAATAAAACTCAATTATTTGTCAATAAAAAAAATATTTTATAACTTAGAGGGACGTCGTGAATTTTTCCAAATTCTATACCCTAAACAAGAAAATTAAATTGACCTATTTCTTGGATGTATAAAATCTTTCAATTTTTTTTTCCATTTTCCAGATAGAAAAATCTTTCAATTATCCTTTCATCTTCAAGTAATATAACCGCATGAAGTTGAATGTGCAAAGGAGTAAATCAACACCTCATGTTTCTAATACAATAAAAAAGAAAAACCTCATTAATTGGGGGAGAAAGTCATTATTGCGAAATAAAATAAAAATAGAGAACAAATCACAGGGAGAAAAAAAGAAAAAGGAATTTGTCACTGGTCCAAACGAAAAGCTATAGCTAATGAATCCATGCTTCGTGATTAGATTCATTGTCAATTTTCATTCCTTCTGTTTCCTTTTATGTTCATATTTTATTCCTCCAAACTGAATATTTTATCCTATCTGAAACAGGAAGAGGGGTAACCCTAACTATATAATAAATTAAGCACCTTTTCCATCCGATTTTGCCACTGAAAGCAAGAAAAAGCAGAATCTAAACGACACTAAATAATAGGGACCGAAAGCTATATGCTCACATTTGTAGAACGACAAGATCTCAACCGGCCATTCTTATTGCATTTTTGTAAGTTGCTGTCACATATGACTTAAATGGTATATATCTTCGAGGAAAAATTTTATTTCCACAACACTTTTTTATATCTTTTTCCTTCACAATTAAGAAAAGATAGGAAAGAATGAGAAAAACATGTGGCATAAGATGAATAAAGTGGATGTAAGAATAATATAACTCGATTTTTTTGGTTCACTTAATAAGTATAAAGTGTGTCTATATATGTTGTGCAACAAAGAAAGCATACTAAAATGAGACAATTTTTCATGAATCATAGGGGCAAGAAACAGAGATATGAATTTGCTTACGGGCTAAAATATTCATATTTAAATTTCCACCGAAATAAGGCATACCCATATTACACTTTAGAATGCATTTTAGCTAGAACTAGAATCATAGATAAAGTTCTCTAGTCTCTCAGATATCCTTGCAGCTCCACTTGTAGACTCCCTTACCTAAACAATTCAACCAGAGTTACATGTATAAGACACAAAAGAAAAAGATCAAGAGATTTTATAACTCACCTGACAGTGTATTGAATGGAAAACTAGATCTTCAACGACTTTATAACTAGCATTAACAACATCTACTCCTTCTTCATAAAGAACACGAATGGATTCACTGAACATGAACTGAGAATCCAACCCAGTTACTAGAACAACTTCTAAGGCTGAACCCATTTGTTGGATCTCAATTCGTGGAGATTTCAACCCCACAGTGGTCTTTCCTCCATTCACTCTCATATTTGGCTTTTCAATTCCAAGTAGCATGATCTTCTTATCCTTCATTTTCTCCAAATTCATCTGTAGTTTCTTTATGTAATTTGTGGCTTCTTCTAGCTGATCCGGCAGTGAAATAGGATCCTGCAACAGATTCAAACAACGGGTAATAATAATTATGTGTCAAATTAATAGTACTTACTAGATAATAGCTTTGGTCGTGTACATTATATATATAAGGAGCTAACAGAAGAAAGGGAAAGAGGGAAAAAACCCTTGAGCTTTGATGAGGCACAAGTGAGTTGAGCTTGCGGTAGAGAGTTTTCATTTGATTTCTTCTGTTCCTCTCAATGAATTTTCTATCAATATTTCTGGATGAGTTAGGGTTGTTCTCCATGTTTAATATTAGAAGATTAATTGCTGTTGCTCAACTTCAACAGCACAAAACACTCATTCCATGAAAAGAGGAATGCTTCTCATATAATAGTTGTCAGTTGCTTGGAATCGTTGGTGTCTTTTAGAAAAGCAAAGATACTATTATTAGATGCTACTGATCAAAGTTTAGTGATTGGGATGGTGGTGGGGCTGTGTCTTGCCCTTACCTTTGGCCATATCTTCTAAATTTATTGTTTCTATTAGATCAGTCAAACTTTCAAAGTAGAGTTAAATTGGTTCCTCCCAAAAAAACAGTAAGAATTTGCTTCCAATTAAACCAATTTAACTCAATGTAGTTATTTGATAAAATTATTTGCATTACAAATTACAATATATTAACTAATTAAAAAAGATATGTAATTATTGTATGTATATATATAAATTATTTTTAAAAAAATAAGGATATAAATGATAAAGAAATTATTATTAGTTAATTTTAAAAACTAAACACTACTTCACGTAATTTCTTAAAAGTTTTTTTTTACAAGCTATATTTTTTTATTAAAAAATTCTACTAATTCATTGAGCAAGTCAATAAATTTACAAACTTCTAACTAAATTACAAGTTTGTGTTATCCAAATACTCACTTTCTCACATGTTCTTTTGTAAATTACTTCAATTTTGAAGAGAAACTAAAATTTAATAAAACGATACTTTAACTCCCTCTCTACCCATCAAAAATAATAAATCAAATATATATATATATATATATATATATTCCTTCTTTTGTTCTCTTTCTTAAGAGTAAAAAGTAAAGCAAACTGTCCCTAACTTGTGCATATGATTCATTTAATTAACGTTGTTACGATGAATTGGCTTAATTTAATGTTTATATAGTTAGATGGACATTATTCTTCGTGGGATGTGTTTGAAAATAAAATAAAATATATATATATATATATATATATATAATTTCTTATTAATTATTTTGTTCAATTAAAAATAAAAGAAAATAAAATAGATCTGCATAGCATTTTTTAATAAATTTTAAATATAATGATAGGTTGATAAATAATTAAACGGTTTTATTATTTTAACAACTTGTCTCGTGTTTTTTTCCTATACTCCACGTGTTTTTATAACTATTTCCTCTGTTTTATCTCTTCAACTAACTTATGAAAAACGTTTTTGTATTTCCACCCTAACTAGTTTCTAACCCAACGAAACAGTAAGTTAGAGTTCGCAGACCTTTCAACAGATTATACTGAAAGGAAAGGCAAATATTTATGTCAATTTGTGATTGCGATGTAAAGAGATTAAAGGGCACTGTCAATTTAAGGTACAATCCCTTTACTCGTTCATGTTTTTCATTTGTACAAACAGAAAAGTGTTTGTACTGTAAACTTAAAATATGGTGTAATTTTAAGTTTTTTTTTCTTTACTTTAAATTTTTTTTCTCTCTGAATTTCTGCTCCTTTTTTTTTCAATGTTTTTTTCCTTTATATAGAGCACTATTTTTCCCCCTTTTGATGCAGGGGCACTACTGTGGTGCTTTTTAATTTTAACTAATAATTTAAAAAAATATTTAAGAAATTAATAATAGTAAAATTTATTTTAAAAATTATTATATTTTTGTAGTTTTAATGCAATAAATTTGTTTTTTTAATTTTTTTTGTGCTTTACACTAATTATTTACTAAAAAATATTAATGTCATTTGTTTTTATTTATATATTTAAATTAAAATATGAATCTCTTAATATGTGTCTATAGAAATTACAAATTTATCGTATTGAATATAGAAAAAAAAAGTGATCTTTTACAAAACAATAATGACTTTAGTTTAGGGATAACAACAGGTCAGATAGGTGTAAGTTTGACTTCTCCATGACCTATCCCGCACCTTTCTGCAGATTTAAAACTTACTCTAAATCTTGAGTGTAAGATTAAAATAAAACCTAACCCTAACTCTGTAGGTATATAAGGGTTTGCAAGTTACGCTGATTTCACATTAAATCACAAATAATATTATAATTCTTATATATATATATGGAGAATGATCTTCTTACCAGTGTAAGTTTAAAAACTCTTATACCTAATATAAACTTTTCATTTAACTTACACCTAATGGCCAATAAAATAATAAATTATAACCTGTTAGATGTAAGTTAAATAAAAAGTTTAAATTTAGTATAAGAATTTATAGACTTACACCACCCGTGTAAGAAGATTTCTAGCCTATATATATATAAAGACAAAACAAGATACAAAACACATCAGTTTCAAATGAAAATACACAAATCCATCAAGCATATTGCTAAACAAAAATTCACAATTGCTTGTTTAGTGGTAAGCACCCCAAACAATACTGGTCTAAGGCTTAGCTTCAATCATCCTACAAGTAAAGTAAAGTAATTTTAATATTTTTTAGACAATTTTAATCATGATTGTTCTACATATAAGAAATAGTACCAAACTCTTTTAATTACAAAAGAGGGTATATTAAATTTTACCTTAATTTTGTTTGAGTCAAATAAAATTATTATAGGTGATAAATTTTTTCTTCTAAATATTTAATACAACTAAATTTATTAGTATTCAAATTTAAAATTATTTTTTTTACAATTTTTTAATCATATTATAATTATCTTAATATTTAATTTAAAATATTCAGAAAAAATATATTCAAAATGTGAAACATTTATATTTATTTATATACAGGGTTATTAAATTAATTTAATAATAAAATTAATATAAATTTATTTTAAGAAATTATATCATCATTCTTAATTACTTTTATTTTTTTTAGTCAGATTGCTCTACGGTGGAATTTCAAACTAACTCAAAATTTCAACACTAAATAAAAAAAGAAAACATCTAAAAAATGTTAATTAGTGTTTTAAAAGTATTAATTAAAAATTAAAAATTAAAAATAAAATATTATTAATTCTTCTCTTCCATAATTTTCAATTTAGCTTAAAATAATTTTTGATAAATTTTATTTTCAATCTGTTATTCAATTTTAATTTATCAGGACAAATTTTTTTATCAATTTCAGTATAACTGAATTTTAATAATTAATAATAATTTTCATTAAAAATAAAAACATTTATGAAATTTTCTATAATTTAACGTAAAAAATGATTTTTTATTATTAGATACTTAAATTAGGTTTAAGGATAATACACACGAGTTTACGGTGACAAATTAAACCTGACGTCATGTAGCTCACATCAGCACTATATACCTCATTCTTTAGTGGAACCAACGTCCATACATGCTAAAACTTTGTTTTCAATGTGCGACATTGTCGCTCGGAATGCTAAAACTTTCTTACTTTAGTTAGACAACTCCAGGGCACTCATTGTTGCAAGAGCTTTCCCATATTCGATTTGCAAATGCTATCACCACTCATTATATTTTTAAGATATTAATATTTTATTGGCTAACTAACATGACCATAGTAAGGTAAGTAACTCATGAGTAAGTAATTAATTTTAAACTATTAAATATATTTTAAAATTTATAAACAGTTCAAATTTTTTATCTATAATTTAATAATACAAGTTTCAAAATTTTTCTTTGAACCTTCAAAATCTTTTATTTTATATTTTAAAAATCTATTATCGTCTTTTATCTTTAAAACTTTGTATGTTATATTTTCTCTTCTTTACCTTTGTGTATTTTGGATCTTCTAATCTTATTTTAAGAAAATATGCATCTAAATGCTCATTCAAACGTAGTTTGAATACATAATAAAAAATAATTTTTGAATTAATTGAATGTTGAATGTTATGTTAGATTACAGCCATAATTTATCATGAAAATGAGGTTTTGTATTGATACATTATTTAATGTCCTTTAGATATTTTTCATGTTCTTCCTATATAATAGTCATTTCTACGTTGCACAAATGTTGCAACTTTCGCTTAAGCAACATTTTTTCACTTAAGCAAAAATTATATAAAAAAAAAAAACTCACTAGAAGTAATTCGCCTAAGCAAGACATAAACTACTTAAGTCGTGAAATATAGTATAATAATAGCTCTAATAGTGAATATTAGCTTAAACGAATATCAAGGTAAATAAACATTTCCATTATAACCAATATAGATTAAGCGAAAATACTACGGCTTAAGCAAAATATGAAATATGTTTTTCAATTCTCCTTTTTTTCTAATTCGCCCTCTATTCTTAAGACTTGGAAAGTTCAACGATCACCTGTTGAGAATCTTGAAGTTGATGCATAAAATTTGTCAGAATAACACCTAAAACTAATGGAAAGAGAGTTGACGATAAAGACTAAATTTTAACTTCTTAACATTTTAAGTTATAAATCTAAACAAAAACCTTTATATGTGTCATTGGTAATTATATAAAAAATTTACCATGTGAAAGAAAAATAACTCAATTAAGGTTTCTATGCATGTCTCTGCATGGGTTTTATCACAAGGAGGGATGGACAGTGGAGATTATATGATAACTTCTTATTTCATATTTAACAATATACATGAAAATTTTATCAAATGAGATACCCAAATTATGAGAAAACAATTAGTTTAAGAACCAAAATACGGGCAAGGGATCAACAATGAAGATTGTAATATGTAAGAATCAAGCTATTAAAGAAGTCTTTGAAAGTATTTGAATTTGTTAAGCAAATTCATGCAGACATTATTGTTAAAAATTTTGTTAATATCATTTGTAAGAGAATATAAACTTTTATGTGACAAGCCTTTTTTGTATAATAAAAATTAATATTTGAAGTGTATAGTTTAAATAATTGCTTACTCAATATAATTTTTTTTTCCGTTAAAACTTTTTCCATAAATTTAGTTTTTTTAGAAACACATCTTAATTAACCTATTATTAAATACTATTTTGTATGAGTCATCATACTTTAAAGTTGTTCATAAAATTTTATATAATGAGCTATATTAAAAAAACTTATCGAATTAAGTACAAAATAAAATAATAGTAGTCATAAATATTCGCAAGCTTTTGAAAATTAAAAAAAAATTGTCATTGGAATTAATTTAAGAAATTTGTTTTAAAATTTTCATAATAAGATAAAGTAATTAAAATGTTTGAA